GTTTTTTATCTAAAAAAAGCGACATTAATTTATTGATGACTTACTATTTTTAGTAAGTGTTCTAGTGCAAAAGTACACAGTGTGCTATCTGCACTCTGTCCGCCAAGGAGAAACTCATGGAGTGGTTTGCAGAACATACTAATACTGTAAATTTGTTGACCAAAAGGTATGAAAATAAGTCCTAGTGAGTTACTGAATTTAGATTAAAGAACTTTGCTTAATTCTATTATTGAAACTCTTCTGTAGTGTTTTATTTTTAAATAAAATATTTTTGGGAAGTTTAAGATTTGGGTAGAGTAAGAAACAGCTGTTAACAGAATGAACCCATTTAACATACCACTGGTGATTTTCCTTTTTTCATATATTACTGAAACTGAAAAAAAGATATATCAAACAAGCTAGGAAACTGAGAGGTTCTGATACCCCCCCCCCCCAAAAAAAAAGGTGTAGGGGTAAATATCCAATGTGTCCAGAAAAGGTAAGAAAGATTTACTTACCATAACCTTGCATTCCAATCAGTATCACAGATATAATGATCATTAGCCATTAAACTTGAGCAACAAAAGTTCTTACTTAAAGCTGCCTTAAAATGTTTCTCTGTTCAATTTATTGGTTATTTTTGTTTACTTTTAATTGTTGGAGTCACCAACACTTTTGAGTAATGAAAAAGTATTTGGGTAAAAAATAAAATTTATATGGTATAATGAAACTTCAGTTACTTAAGAACTACTTCTATACTTTCATTATATTGGTCTTTATATTCTTGTTTTACTATGTAATGGATACTGCAATATGATTGAAGGTTGGCAAATCCACATCTATATAGCTCTGAGGATTACAAAATGTATACATCATATATAATAATTTTTCTTTACGCTTAAAATGCAGCAGAAAAATTATAGTTTGTCATAGCTTTGCAAAAACAGCATTCTTAACAAAATACATATGAAATTGAGACCTACCAATCCATTTCATGAAAAAAAAGCCAAAAAAAAAAAGAAAGATGTAACACAAAGATATAGGTTTTCAATTGTTTATTGGTTTCCTACCTAATTTCTTTGGCAAACACCAAACTTCCACCTCAACCATTTATAATGTCACAATATTATTGGGATTAGAATTAGTTTATATTTGTCCAAGGAATATTTATGAATTGATTAGGTTTTGTAATAGGTTTTGTTTACTGTTAATCTTCTGAACACAGATAAGTCAAAATTTTAAATGTCACAACTTTATACAGTTTTTCAATTAAACTATTTTATCTTAAAAACTAAAAAAATTTTTTAGTTTTTAAGATTGAATATTACACACGTGTCAAAAAAAAATTTGAAAAAAACTTTTATGTATCAATAAACTTAGCATTGAATTGAAGTAAATAAAAAATAATAATAATATACAAGTTTCAGTTTTTTAATTTTAAAGGGAAATATTTAAATAAATTCTCAATCTTCACTTGTCTGTATTATGTCACTTGTTCACTGCAATTTCCCATTTTCAATTTATTCATCATCCCTATATATATATTACTAAGAGATAGTCTAATTTTATAGCCTACATTATTCTTGCTTTACAGAGATATAAACCAGAAATCCTGCTATTACATTCTGTCTTAATGTCAGTAATTCTCTCTAGCCTATGATCTTGAATTATTTATAACCAACAGAAAGAGGAGGTTTTAATATACTGATTTCCATATAAGGCTAACTCCTTCTGGTGATGGTGATTATTTGGTGTACAGATTCATTGTCACTCTCACCAAGTTAATATCAACCAGATAAGTGAATTATTTTAAGACACTTATACCTTAGTTAGAAAACCAGTTAAATTATAATAGTTACAGGGCATTGCACACTTTGTGCATGTGATTATTTTGTGTTCTTGAACGTGTATTTGAAATAAATAAAAATTATTTTATGTACTACTACCATCACTACAAAAATCTAATTGCTAAATTTGTTTTTGTGTGATTTTTATTTATTGTTATAAAAGTAACTTAAATATAAAAATTAGGCTAGATAAGAAACGATAAATGAAAGAATTAAATTGTAAAATTTCACAGCAAAGTATGCACATGAGCTGTACATGTTACATTATTCAATATTGTAACTTGAGCTACAAGTTCATCGTGTTTACAACTATTTAATGCAAATTTTGTGGTTAGACATGGTTCAAAGAGCAATAAAACAATAAAATTAATTACAAACAGAAGTAAACAGTTAGAGCCCCAAGCCTCTTTACAATAAATATTTGTAATTTTTTGTTACAATATTCAGTCATTTTTGAAGAAAAAAGGGCAATTTAGATATATTTTGTACTTTTCTGTGGCAAATGGATAGAGTTTGTACAGTGTTAAGATAGAGAAAATAACAGATAAAATATAGTTCTACTGAAAAGCCCCCCCCCCCCCCAGTGGCACAGCGGTATGTCTGCAGACTTACAACGCTAGAATCCGAGTTTCGATACTCGTGGTGGGCAGAGCACAGAATAGCCCATTGTGTAAGCTTTGTGCTTAATTACAAACAAACAAACATCTACTGAAAAAAGGACTTTTGACACTAATTTAGGAAGTTGAAGAGGTTACACAAATGAAATATGAAAAATGTAAGATGAAAAAAAGATATTTCTAATATTAAGATGAAAATAAGTTTGCACTCAGACTACTCAGTTTGAGCCATAAATTCACAGATAAATCTTTAATAAAACACTTATTTAAAAACTGATTTATGGTGAACAAAAGACAATGTTTAATAAAAGATTGCCAAATTCTGTGAAAATGCACTTACTACATTAAATGTTACAGTATGTATATTTTTATGGTTACATGGTGATTGCAAGGTTGGTAAAAATGATCAGACCCATATATATATGGAGATTTAAAGTGAAAACTTTACTCTTTTCTCTAAAATCCTATTATTAACATATCTTTATCAAAATGTAATAATATACACATGTGTTTTAGGTTGGTTGTTTTTTTTTAGGTTTTATAGGTCATTTCAACAAACAATAGAACCATTTTCAAAAAAATAGCCTTTAAAAGGTTGTATAATTTTTATCGGTTTACTGGAAAGCCTGAATTACACAAAGTATTTTCTTCACTTATCTTTGGGGACAAATTAGTTTGGTGGATTTGATTAGCAAATTGCAATCTGAACCCAGATATTTTGTCCCTTGTATTATAAAGAAACAAAACAAAAAGTGCTCTAAACACTAACATAATACAGGTATTATAGGTAGTTCTTAACACCTATCAGGAGCATCAAGAGCCAGCCTAGCTCTGGGGTCAGTAATATCATCAGCCCCCCCTCTTTAATTTTATTTATTACCCGTTGCTGATTTTCATAAAAGAAATTTATGTTATGAATTTCTT